TTGGAAATTTTCATGTATACTATGGATTCCGGACAAGGTGCGTTTATGTAGATCCTTCTGCCAATATGACTAAGTTACGGAAACAAGGTCAAACAAATTCTATACATCGAAATGAGACCACAACCATACAAAAGGCCACATCATCCTGATCTTCATAGCTTTGCTTACGTATTTTCTTTGCTAGTATGCTTGGGAATAATTATTTATTCTTAAATTATACCTTTTTCTGAAGCACTGCTAAATGAAATTCTGTGGCATCATAAGGCGTTTTGATTTTATTGTTAGAAAGTTTGCCAACAGAAAGTAACTCACCAAAGTCTAAAATAATAATTATATTCTCATTTCCTTATATGCCACCCCAATTATTGAACTATATCCACTCGCAGACCAAATTTTCATTCAGATTGAGCCAATTCGTCCAGTTTTCATTGGTAGCTAATTGGGGCAAAATGACGCCTGTACTTTAAGCTTCTGTGCTCTCTAATGCTACATCTTTGGGCCATAGGCTAGCATTGTGTCGAAATTACTTTCTTACTAAATTACACTTTCTAGATAAATACACACTTGTCCCATTTTTTGTCGCTTCCAAGTTTCCAAGCAAGCTTCCAGGGTATGTGCTCTCTCCTTCTCAGTCTGTAGATGAATCTTCACGCCCTCCAACTCAGCCTGTAGACTCGACAATCGAACTGCCGCCTCCGCAGCATCCGCGGTGGCTAACGACTGCTGTGTTTGACGTTCTAAAGCCTCCCTGTGCCGACGCGTCAAACTGTCCAGTTGGGCTTGTAGCCCCACGAATTGGGTGCGTGGTACACTCGAGTCAAGCTCCTCCTGCAGTCGGCGGAGACGAAACTCTGAAGCTGCCTTGTAGCGTGAGTAGTAACCGAGACGGGCAGAAACGGCAGACTCCATTTGAATCAGATCTCTCTTCAGGCCAACTGTCTCCTGAAGGTGTGTAACGGATGTAGAATAGTGGGCATGAGGCGGGAATAGAAAGGGCAAAGGTTAGAGCTGGAAATGAGTTGACGAGATTTATGGGCAACCCAAACGAATACTCGCATAATAGGTAAATTTAGTGGCATCATGGAAAACTCAACTATCATTCTTTGAATAACCTTAAGCGACCTATGACTAAATTATTATTCGATAATTATTGATAGTCTCAATAACTACTCATAAATAAAATAAGTAGCATCGTCAATTGCAATGATAAATCAGGGGTAAAATGAGAGGAGAGTCACATAAGGATGATTCTGGCGTGACTATCCATTTTGAAGAGAAATTTGGCTGGAAGGAATTCGTGATGTGGTGTCACGAGAAACCGAAGGAGGATTGTCGCGTAAGGAAGACTGTTGAGTTACGCAAGAAGTCCTCGGCTCACCGTCCTGTGGCCAGATGAAACTGTGCTGAGCTTACGTCTGTACCACCGTGAAAGACATCATCAGAGCAATATATCTTACTTTACGAAATAGAGCAAAAATATACTAAACCAAGAGGTGAAAATGGCCGGGTGCAACCCTAGTCACTTTCGTATATACCTAACTTCGCGATATTAATGAGGCTACTTCAACCTTACTCTAATTGCTTACAAATGAGTGAAGTGAACTTCTGAAACCGAAAATGCGCGCAAGGGCCACTGCTTTATCACACAAAAACTAGGGCACGATCGCCTAATGCTAAATCATATTTTGGCTTAAGTAGTATGGTAGTCCTATATAGACATGATGCTGATCCAGCCTCTTTCCCAGTGGTTTGTCCTGCACCCCCTCTTTCTGCCTTTTCTTAAGTCTATCCAACAACCACAAAATGTTCATACTTAGTTTTCTACAGTCGTTCCTCCTATTCAGGACGTCGACTATTTTGTTAATTTCTATCGACTCCCTAATCCTACGCTTTGACGTGAAGTCCCAGTAACCAGCATAACGTCATGTTTTGGACCAGTCGATTGAGTGTCCTGTATTGGCAAAATGTGTTCAGCGAGCTCATATTTTTGTACCCACAGACCTTCAAAAGAGGTTTTGTGCTTGCATAGTCTCTTGTATATGAGTCGGTAGGTCCCTCCCACATATACCCTCAAAATGAAGAGTGATGCCATAATATTTAATTAAGGAATTCTTCGAAAATCAGTGTTTCTTCATATCTTAGAAGTACGTACGGTTTTCTCTCTTTTCAAAATTCGTCAGTATATACAAAAACCAAGAAATCGTTGGCCAGGCTTTTTAAAAGTTTGTTCTACCCATAGAATTATACCTCGATCTTGTAGTATTTCTAGACGGAATTTACCTTGTAAGACTAAGACCGATCTCTTGGACGTTAGCAATGAGTTGGTTGATATTAGACTAAAGACATACCTTAATCGGAACTAAAACTTGACCTAGGAAAATTTTAACAGATGCTCTTAGTTCAGAAGACTTCCTGAAATTCTAGAGTATAGCGGTTAGTTTATATGATAAGATTATCCGACAGGTTAGGAAGACACATGATAAAAAATTAAGAAATTTGGGTATAAGAATTAGCTCAAGGAATCGACCCACATCTTATGAGTTGAAGTCTAAGAATAGCCGTTTCCATAAAGTGTTAGATCTGTCCATAATTTCATTGGACATTTTTACTGAGAAGGTCTTGGAAAGGGCTAAAAAACGTTGCCTTTCCAAATGGTAAGGACTTTAAAGAGAAGATTTTGGTAGAATTCATAAGTTTAACGGATAAGTTGCCAGAGGATGCTAGGAGTGACAGTGCATTATAAGTTGTCCCTTAAATTGATGGTCCTGTAGAAACGTCATATAAGAGTAATACAGTTAATAATATTAAAAGGATGCTTAAGGAAAACGAGCAACTAGTATTAAAGACAGAGAAAGGAGTAGCAGTAGTAGTTATGACTAGGACTGATTATGTGGAGAAAATGTTGGAGGCAATAGACGATGATACAACACATAAAATGATAATTAGGAAACCGACAAAAGTCCTTAAAGTCAGACTTAAAGGTCTTCTGCAACAATGTGTGACCAGTTTAGGACTGGAAAAGTTGCGAGTGAATACACTTTTCCAGCGAGACGCTAGACCCCCAAATGCGTATGGTCTGCTCAAAATCCATAAGGTACTCAACTTAGGATTTTTGTAAATAATAGAGATAGGGTGATGCAGAAAACATCGCGATTTATATGTACTCAGTTAAAGTAAATCTCAGAAAATTAAAAATGTTTACTAAAGAACTCATACGACTTTATTAAGTTAATTGCTGCTCAGAAGATGGAAAGAGGAGATTTGTTGGTAAGTTCCGATGTACGGTCTATGTATACTAACATTTCGATAAACGAGGCAATGAAGGCGTCAGAATTAACTCAACACCCTGAAATCAAAACAGGTAAAGAATAATTATATTAGACAATTTGTCAATGTATAATGCATATTTTACCTTCAATGGTAAGTTGTATGAGCCGACCGTGAGTTTGGCTATGAGATCTTATTTAGCCCCTATTTTAGCTAATAACTACATGACCCAATTAGAAGTTCGCGTGCTTCGCTATATGGACGATTACTTTGATGATTGGCAACCCAGCAAAGATAATTTGGGGGAATTCCTTTAGCTTATAAATAGAATAAATGTAAATAATAAGTTTACAATGGAGCTAGAAAAGGAAAATAAATTGCCTTTTTTATGTATTAGTGAGCAA